AGTATTCTATAGTATTGCAACTTTTTTTTATGGAAGGGGCCCCCAAAATTGCTTTGCCCCAGGCCCCCTGAATTCTCTGGGTGGCCCTGCCACCAGAACAAAGGAGAAGCTGTGCGGAAAGTCTTATGATGGCCAAAGTGGTGTCATGACAGAGATGGAGCACTTATAGACGGTGGCACCTTGGTGGAACATATATGCGCCCATGAAGGTAGGTGATGCCATCCTGTGTGGCACATAGCATTTTGGTTCTGGCCCTCATTTGATCAGGATGTCCTTTTATCTCCTGGGATAACGGATTGTTCCACGAAGCAGAATGGATTAGATCAAGGAGGTCTCGGCATATTGTGGCACTAAGGAAGTTGTGAGGTTTTAAGAGACAGGGTGGTTCTTGGTTAGGCTCCTTGCCCTCCTCCCCCTTTCGGGATAAGGCGTCAGCTTTCCCATTCCTGGTTCCCAGGAGATAGGTGATGATGAAATCAAACAGAGAGAAGAATAATGTCCACCTGAGCCATCTTTGGTTCAAGGCTCAAGGCAAAGGCATGTCCTGGTTAATGCTTAATTTGTAATGAAAGAGGTGCTGGGGCTCAACAATTAGGTGCTGGGGCTGAAGCAATTTTTTACATTCATAACTGATGTAGCAAGCCCAGAGGTGCTGGGGCTAATGAACTGCCAAGTCTAGAAGTGCCAGGACTCAGCCCTGGCAAGCCCTGGCACAAATTAAGTGCTGGTCCTGGTGCTCTGCAATAAAAACATAGGTTATTGTGCCATCGCCATTCATTTTCTTCCAGGGTCAAGTGTCAGTGGCCCACATGAAACTGCATCAGTTTCTAGTTGGGCCCTGGGGTTTCAGTGTGCCCCCCCCCCTTTTGCTCATGCAGCTGGTTGTCAATGTGGAGAGAGAGGTCAATGAATGCATCAAAGTGGGTCAGGATCTCAATGTGGGCTCGCTCATCCTTTACTTCCTCACTAAGTCCACACTGAAAATGGTGTAGTTGGACTGCCTTGTTCCACTCAGTACCAGTAGTGAGTCACTGGAACTAGGCAGCATCTGAGGCAGCTGGACCTTGGTGGAGCCTTTGTAGTGCTGCTTCTGCTGAGCAAGTATGGTGAATCAGAGGGCTGCAGGGTACTGTCACTTTGGGTCTATTGGGCGGTACTTCCTGTGGCACCTATATTCCACAGTGCTCCCTGGCTGTGGTTCTGCATGGCTTCTTAATCGCTCTGTGGGACTATCAGCTGTCCCAGGCTCTACAGATCTGGTCCCCAGATCCTTACAATGCCAATATTTTAATGTTTCAAATCATTGCACAAAGCAGAATGCAAAGGAGTTATTCAGTTTCAAATACTGTGGAACTCCTTGCCAAAGGATGTTGTGAAGGCCAAGACCATAACAGGGTTCAAAAAAGAACTAGATAAATTCATGGAGGCTAGGTCCATCAATGGCTATTAGCCATGATGGACAGGAATGGTGTCCCTAGCCTCTGTTTGCCAGAAGCTGGGAATGAGCGACAGGGAATGGATCACTTGATGATTACCTGTTCTATTCATTCCCTCTGAGGCACCTGGCACTGGCCACTGTCGGAAGACAGGATACTGGGCTAGATGGACCTTTGGTCTGACCCAGTAGGGCCATTCTTATGTACTTTTGGTCTGACACTTAAGAAGTGCTGAACTCTGGCAACTCCCAATAAAGTGCTTCTTAGTATCAAACACATGAAGATATTATCTGAATAAAATAGTAGATGGTATCATTTAGTAAACTCTGTTGAGACGTTTTAGCAATAAGAGTCGGGGGGACTATTATAGAATAATGTGCTGTCCTGGACATATAACCAAAAGCTTTTTCCACTTACAGTGTCACAAAATGTGAAAAGTTAGTTCTTGAAAAAAGAAGCTTTGATACTGTAGTGTATCACTTTACAAACCTATTGTGACTGCCATAGAGTGACAGTGAAATAATCTAACTCCTGTGAAATGCAGCCACTTATTTTTTTACTGCAGTATATTACACATTGCCAACAAGAAAACATGTCAAGCCAAAAGCAACAATAAGATCTGCTTAAATACTGCTCTCAGTTATATCCATGCAATCTCATTGAAGTCAATGGGATTTCATCAGTGTAACTGAGATCAAAATTTGGCATAATATCTGACTATAATGTCAGCATTTTGCCCAAGAATACTGTCTGCAATACCACTATGAATAATATACCACAGACTGCTCCTTTATTGTGTTTCACTGACTCAGGAAAATCACAAAATCATTTTTAGGCCTAGTCATTTTGATCTAAAGACACAACTGCTGAACACTGAATAGTAATTGTTTGAGTACAAAGACTCTAACCAATAAGTGACTAAATATTCATTAAATCATTTGGAATTCATTTTATAATATGGCATTATTTATGTTACTAAATCTTAAAGCATAATCTCTCAGTCATGCAAAACTGCAGAGAACAATTTGTTTCCAAATCTAAAAGAAGTATTTTTTTCTTGAGGGAATCCAAATTTGGTAGAAATTTGTGAAAAAATGTAAATGTCATGACAAATCAGGTACACACTGTACCATATTTCATTTGAAATACTGAAAACTTCTGAATATAAGTCTGTATGTTCAAATTTCAGCTATGAGTGACCAATGTACAACAAGAATGGCAAAAGCCTAAGCATTATTAAACGTACTAAAGTACATTAACTAATAATAAATCTTCTATAGTACCTTTTATTCAAAGTTATCATAGCATTTTAATTCATTAAGCATCACAACACCTTAGTGACATAGGCAAGGTTATCTCCTAATCATTTTGTTTAGCAGTGAAAAATGCAGCTATACACATTTAAGCAGAACTCAGGTTCTATTTATCAGCACACTTCAATACAATACAATAGTAAAAGGTAATAGTAACAATAATCTTGTATCTACAGTGCACTCCTTGTCAATGGAATGAAACATAAACATAATAAAATACTATCCTCTTAAAATAAAAAAAAATTAAATAGAATAGGCTAAGTAAAGGATAGGAAGAAAACATGAAAATATAGGGTCAACAGTTATCATTCTAAAACCTTTTTTTAAAAGTTTTAAGATGCTTTGAAAAGTAAAGAGTGACAAAATGAGATGGATTTCGGGCGGCTGAATGTTCACCACTTTACAGCCAACTGCTGCAAAATTCAACAGAATTACTGTGGATTTACACTGCTATCACTAGAGCAGAATTTGGTCCATGGTCCTTTTTAATATCTTTATAAACTCTATATTGAAAGGTGTGTGAGTGATCAGAATGTCTATTTCCTATAAGTTTAATCAAAATATTGTCTAGTGTGTCAAAATTAATGTGAGGCACTATATTTGAGCAGGTCTCAGAAGTATGGCCTTTCTCTATTCTAAATACTATGCAATATAAAATATTATGCTTTCCATTTATGCAGATAAGTATAACCTCTCCACCATAACCCTGCTAATCCTTTCTGTCAGCAGTATTTGTTCAGTGTTGTTATAATGAATGAGAAACATGGTGGTTTAGGAATCTTGTTTTACTGCAGTTAATGAGGGACTGAAGCAAGATCTTAATTTCCCTTTCTTTTACTGCTGATGATCAAGATATAAGCTACACAGAGCTTTCTTTTTCTTATAAACAGCCAGCTCCTGATTTTCAGTGAATGCAGCAAATTGTAATGTTACCACCACTGAATCTTGCACCACCCCCAAAAAGACTGCTGAAAATAGTGAAAAAAGGTGGTAAACAACAATGATGGAGAAAATGTTTACTGGTATTTAAAATGTACAGAGCACTTTCATGTGGCTTTGGTCAAATCTTATATTGTAGGAATGTAAAATGTATCTGAGGGATTTTATTTATTTTTTCAAATGTCTTTTTATATGTTATTTACCCTCGACCCCCATCTGTGTGACACCAAACAAGTACATACGATAAATATTTATTGTACCAGTTTAATATGCTCTTTTGGGGCTATCGGAGAAACATACTAAGCTTTCAGCAGCACTACACTATTTTTTGTAATAAAACCTAAAATATGTTGATTATTTTCCTATTTTCATGCTTCGCATCAGTACTCTTGAGTGCCTGTTTCAACGACTTTTCCTTCCTCGTTAACCATGACACACAATGGGGGAAATATCCCCCTGGAGACAAGCCATGCTGTGAACAACCAAGACCAGGGCTGGTGCAAGGAAGTTTCGAGCCCTAGGCCAAACTTCCACCTTGCGCCCCCCAAGCCCTGCGGCAGCTCCCTGCCCCCCCTCCGCCCTGAGGCACCCCCGCGGCAGCTTCCCACCCTCCCGGCCTGGGGAGCCGTGCAGCAGCTCCCCACCCCAGCTCACCTCTGCTCTGCCTCCTCCCCGAGCACGCCGCCCCCGCTCTAATTCTCCTCCCCTTCCAGGCTTGCGGCGCCAAACAGCTGATTGGCGCTGCAAGCCTGGGAGGCGAGAGAAGTGGAGCGGCAACTGCGCACGCAATGAGGGGGCGCAGGAATGCTGTAAAAAAAATTGGGGGCACCGCTTTTTGGCGCCCCCAAATCTTGGCACCCTAGGCAACCGCCTAGTTTGCCTTAATGGTAGCACCGGCCCTGACCAAGACCCCCTTGCACCCTCTGCGTGGACCCAGGGCCACTTCTGAGACGGGGTGCAGGACTGTCCTACTAGGGATCCCCAGAAATGGGGACGGGACGAACCCGACTCCTCCCGCCTCTTCCTTCAGTTCAAACCCAGGCTTGTATGAAACCCCAAATCCCGGTCTGTGTGGGGCCGAGAGACAGAAGATTAAGGGAGAAGGGCCCCTCCTTTCCCCTGCCCTTACCCCCAGGAATCCCGCACGGTGCCGCGCATCCTCAGTACCTGCCCCAGCTGTGAGCAGCAGCAGCTCTCGCTGCTGTGTACCGTTACTAAGGCCCCCTAGCAACTAAGCGTCTCCTAAAAAGCGCTCCCCCGGGTGCGTTCTTCCGGTGTCCCGCACCCCGGCAGGCCGAGGCCGGGTCCTTTGGTTCCGGTTCCGGAATCCGGACCCAGGCCCAGAGCTGGGAGCGCTGCCGTGCGCCAGGTAGGAGTCGGAGCAGCAGGCGTTTCTTTAGGGCTGGAACTGAGCGAGTGGCTGAGGAGGGGTCTCTTGTGATTATCCAGACACGCAGGGGGGAGGGTGGGGCTGGGTTCCTCCAGGTAAACGTCTGCCCTCCGTGGGGGCCGGGCCTGGGCACCTGCAGCGCCTCCTCGCCCGCCACTCGAGCAGGGATTAAAGGGGCGGGCTGGTGCTTGTACAGGGCATGCGGAGGGCGTTGCCTGCCCTCACTCTGATGTTTGCAGGGAGGGTCCTGTGGGCAGATGATGCCCCATTTTGATGTTTTCCGGATCCCTGTCTGGGCAGTTACTCCATTTTGAGGGGGGGGAGGGGGGAGTGTCACTCTGTTTTGATGTCCACGGGGAGGACTGTAAGGGAGTAGCGAGGAGAGGGAGTTTGCTCCATTTAGATGTGTGTAGAGGAGGCTTTTATGGGGATGAGAGAGCTGCCCGATTTTGTTCACAAGGAGCCCTTCCTCAGAGTAGGGTGGGCAAGGAGGAGATGCTAGTTTCAATGACTGGATGGGCCCCTTGTACAGAGCAGCCCATACAGGTGTGCGGTGCATTGCCCCGTCATTTCAGTGTTGGCAGTGGAGCCTTTAGGACCATCATGTCTAGGCTTGGGAGCAATCGAATCTCGTCTGATGTTCATGAAGGCACGCTCCTAAGATTCTCAGGGCAATCATGCTTCTGCGAAGGACCATGCTTTCCTCCCAAAATAGTGTTTGCAATAGCTCTCTTATCTTGTTAAAAATGGTAGTAGGAGAAGATAGTGAATAGAAAGTGTGTGTTTTTATGGTGTCTAATAATGTTTGGCAAGAGAATTTTTATTATTTTCCAGTACCCCTGACTTACAGACCCTTCTGTTTAAATCGAAACCACAAAGGCATCAATACTTTTTAACATTTCATTTGTATTTCCTATTGCCTTTTTTATGGTGCTCTAATCCTTGTTGTTGCTTCTAAAGGGCCTGTTCATGTACATTTGGTTTCAATAGACGTTGAGGGAATTCACAGCATTTTTGAGGAGGGACTCACCACTTTGCAGGATTGAGTCCTAGCAGTGCACTATTCCCAGGACCCAGGGCAGAATTTAGTGAGTAGGGCTGTCACTTTGGAACAGCTTGATTGAGGGTGACTTTGAAAATGACCAATATGGTTTTCAGTGTTTCACTGAAACCTACAGAGCAATTCTCCTTTGTGAGTGAGAGATATTAAAATGCCTTAAAATTCATCCAGATGAGGTAGTCTCTCTCCACATAAGCAAGACTTCTCTGCTGTGGTAGGAGGTTACTCTGCAGATGGAATCATTATGACTGATTTGCTGTCTGAATCAAGCTCTCAATCTTACAGGATGTGAAAACTGTATTGCTGTTGTGCTTGCAAAAATATATTACATGTATGTTTTTCAGTTAAGTTTTTGTGTAGCTATTATTCTGAGACCACAGAGGTTTTCCTTTTCCACTAACAGCAGCATTTCTCCTGTCAGCGTCAATGATGAAAATGCTTTGGGGCTTCATAATTGAACACCACACTGCCATAAGGCATTATATTGAAGAGAATCAGTTTGCAGGCTGGGAAGGCATATCAAATCAAAGGGCCTCGTGGTCTCTTTTCTCCTTGAAGACTCTGTATGGTTAGCGGCCTTAGTCTAGGCTTGACAACTGTCACAAGGGCAATTTCATTCTCCCTCCACCCTCTTCCCCCTGATTCTTTTCAAGATTCAGTTCAGCGCAAACTTGGACTGTAAAAAGGGTGTGTGTGGCAGGGAGCGGTGTTAATTTCCTTTAAAGCCTCAGAATTTGGCTTTTTTTTCGTGACCTGTATGGGTGTTTCATTTTAGCAGAAAATGGTGACTCTTTCCCTGGGGTGTATTCTAAATTTACATTGGAGAGAAGTATCACACAGTTTTGTTTATTTTGCATCATGTTGTCTTGCATTTTTTTTTAATCTATTGTGTTGCATCACATCGTAAGTGGATCATAAGAAACTAGGAGGTGCAGCACAGAAAGCACAGTGGGGGTTGGGAGAAGAGACTAGGTGACTATAAGCGAACTCTGCAGCCTCTTGTTCTTGGATTGTTCCAGAGAGCTGGAGAAGCCCTGGCGTAACTTAAATAGTTCTGGAAGTCTGTCTAGGCCAGTGATTCTCAAAGCCAGTCCACCACTTGTTCAGGGAAAGTCCCTGGCGGGCTGGGCCAATTTGTTTACCTGCTGCATCCGCAGGTTCGGCTGATCGCGGCTTCCACTGGCCGCGGTTCGCCGCTCCAGGCCAATGGGGGCTGCGGGAAGGGCGGCCAGCACATCCCTCGGCCCGCACCGCTTCCAGCAGCCCCCATTGGCCTGGAGCAGCAAACCGTGGCCAGTGGGGGCCGCGATCGGCCGAACCTGCGGACGCAGCAGGTAAACAAACTGGCCCGGCCCGCCAGGGGCTTTCCCTGAACAAGCGGCGGACCGGCTTTGAGAACAACTGGTCTAGGCTACCCTAAATATCACAGTGTTGTGTGGTGCAACTCCTGGCATGTCACTTAAGAACCCAGTGTATTAGGCTGTGCCTGCCCTGGGGGAATTCTCTCCCAGTTGAATACCGGGCTTTTAGGGCCCTTTTGTGCCAGCCCTTTCATGTGGTGTAAGGGGCTCCAGTATTCTATGTTGTTTTGACATCTCGGATGAATGGTCTACAGTTCTTGCATTAATATTTTGTTCCTCTACTTAAAACAGAACTGTTAAGTTTAACCAAAAAATGCTTTAATTAATATCTTTATCACTGCTTGGAAACAAATATATCTTTTTTTTTCTTTTTTTTTTCAAGCTACCAACAAAAAAAAAACCCCAACACATTTACAGAAGCTAATGTGAAAATGTTGAGACTTTGGATAACTAAAGTTATTTTAAAGTAAACAAGTGGCTGATTTTTAATTTAGGAGCTCAACTTTAGGCATTCAAGTTTGAAAATTTTGGCCTAACATTTTTGTTGATGACTCCAAACCTGCACCTTATTGCATGCTGGAAAACCACTGTGCCCTTTCAGAATCCTATGCATATCAGTGGGGCTTTGTGTAGGCACAGGGATCTGTTCCAACAATTGCGGGGTTGGGACCTAAACCTGTATACTTATCTTTGCACTCAGGGCCGGCTCCAGCCTGGCAAGCAGGTGCTTGGGGCAGGTGCTTGGGGCAGCCGCTCCGGAGAGGGGCGGCTCGTCCAGCTATTCGGTGGCAATTCGGCAGACGGTCCCTCACTCCAGCTCGGAGCGAAGGACCTCCCGCCGAATTGCCTCCGCAGATCGCGATCGTGGCTTTTTTTTTGTTTTTGTTTTGGCTGCTTGGGGTGGCCAGAACCCTGGAGCCGGCCCTGCAAACACTTACTCCTACTGCAAATTAATGGGACTACTCATGTAAGTAAAGTTAAGCACATACTGAAGTCAGTTAGCAGGTTTGGGGCCAAAGTGTTTGCAAAATTGGAAAGTTTACAGCTTGAATTTACAAATCTGCATGTTTGTAACTTTACTCACATGAGTAAAGTGAGTGAGACAACTCATCTGAGTAAAACTGTGCATGTTTGCATGGTCAAGGCCCGAGTCTTCGAGCTCTTTAAGTCAAGGACCACCTTTTAATCTGTTTGTATAGCACCTAGCACAGAGGAGTCTGGCTCCTGATAGGAGCCTCAGGGTGTTTTAAAAAACAAACAAACGAAAAAAATCTCTTTGGGATTAATTTGATCTGATCTAGTTGATTTCTGCTGTAATAACAAGTATGTGTTAGTTCAATAGGATGACCATATGATGATTACTTTTTTAGAAATTAGTCTATTTATAGTACATCAGATACAATGTATTTTTCTTTAGCAGATACAGCATATGGTCTGTTTAAAGTAAAGATGTCTTTAAATTCATCTACATTTTTGAACCAAGAAAGCCATCAGAAATTAAAAAGGAATTTTGAATGTTTGAAAAATTCACAACAACAGACTACTTCATCACTTCAAGATAACCCACTTCAGAATTTACAGTTAGCATCCTGGGAAGTTCTTGAAAAGGCCCAAAAGAGTGGGAGATCAAAGTGCCCAAGATGTGGTAGTTCAAGGATGTTTTATTGTTATTCATGTTATGTTCCAGTTGAAACTGTGCCTACCAAAGAAATTCCAGTTGTGAAGGTTAGTGAAACATTACTGTGCCTATTATCTGTTAGTGGGTGGGGTGTGTGTGAATACATTGCCAGTGTTTGCTTTTTCTAGGTCAGCTTTAACACAGTGGTCATGATAGATGAATAAATTATGATAAAGGAGGTTTAGCAGTCTGGTTTAAGGAACCAGATGTAAGAAAATTGATAGTTAAGGTTTCAGTTCTGCAAACATTTATGTATATGCTCAACTTTACATATACAAGGAGTCCCATTGAAGTCAATGGGACTCCTCATGTGTAAAGTTATGAAATTGAGCAATTCAGGTTAGGGCTAATTCTTTAAACTCTTTCTGAAACCATTCTCACCAGGGTTCTCCAAATTGTAAGTGCCAGTGGCATAAGCATTTTGAAATCAAGATGAGATTGTTTGCTAAAAGATACACTCTAGCAATTATTTTGGGGAAGTTCTGTGGCTTGTGTTATACAGGAGGTCAGACTAGACAATCACAATGGCCACTTCTGGCCTAGGAAGCTGAGACTATAGTGGGGAGGTTATATAAACAAATGCTATGGAGCTGCATCCATTTAAACCAGGGCTGAATATGACCCAAAATGTGAACTAAAAAAAAAAAATAAAGAACTGCTCATAGTTGTATAACTAAGTTAACTATTTTCTTAAAATATATTGTTTTCCAGCTGAGATAGTGAATAAAGCTTTCAGAAGTGCCAAGGTCCCATTTACAAAAGTCACTTTGGCTCTTAAGTGCCAAAGGCCTACTGAAAATTGGACTTTGTCTCATAAGTCAGTTAGGTGCTTCTGTGCTTCTGTAAATTTTACCCATTGTGCTTGACCCTGTTCTCCTTGAAATCAAAGAGTTTTGTATTAATTTCAATGGGTTGAATACCTAATACAAATAGGTGTTCAGGATTGGGAGCATAAGGCTTCTAAATTTAAATGCATAACTTCTTTCGTCTGTTATATTAATGACTGAAAATTAAAATTGATAACAAAAGTATCAATAGAGCCTTCACTTTAGCAACATTAGAGTGTCAAGTGTGTACACATAATAGCTAAATTGCTTATTATTAAAAGCAGTGCGTGCTATTTCCTGTGTATTTTACTCTGTTTTCTTTCCCTATTTTGCATTAAACAGTTTAGTTGAAATTAGGAACTTTCATATTCTTAATATTTAAATCAAAACATTTTTAGGAAACTTTATATGAATTTACTATATATTTTAAAAAGTTTCTGTCTGGGGATTTCCTAGACATATGGCCAAATTTGTTTATATGTCTGCCATTTTTTGTTGTAGCTTCCTTTGAAGATTGACATAATTAAACACCCAAATGAAACTGATGGCAAAAGCACTGCTGTACATGCTAAACTCCTAGCACCTGAAGATGTTACTATTTATACATATCCTTGCATTCCAGACTATGAAGAAAAAAGACATGAAGTAAGAGTTTCTATAACAGGGCTGTGTGCTGGGGAAATGTTCATGTGCCTTCATCTCCCAACTCCTGCTGATATTGCACTTCCCCTACAGAGAAGAGAGAGGATTTGGTTTATTGTGCTTTGTAGCAGTATTTTATTTACTGCATAGAGCAGAAGTGTCAAACACCAACCCCACTGGCTGTATTGCCCTGCTTGATGGAGTTATGTGGCCTGCTTGGCATATTCAACTTCTGCAGAATCTAAGCTTTTATTTTGTAAAAAGTAAGCTTCTAGTATTTCCTGGTGCAGGGAAAACCTACCAAATGTAATTGATGCATGTTGTCTTCTTGAGTCAGCCCAGAGCCTGAAATAATGACTGTGAGGAATGAGCTCCCAGTCCTCAATTAATTTCACTGCAGTGAGAATTCTGAAACCTAACATTTGTAATGTCAGCATTAACAAATGGGGAAGGGAGTGAATGAAGTTCATGGGTGTGGGAATTGGTATTTGCTGCAGGGAAGGAAATGTCAAGGAAAGAAGAGGGAGAGAAACAGAGGAAGGAGGATGGGAAAGACTTGGGGGTGGGAGGGGAGAAAAAATACTGCTGATCCTAAAAATGGTCATAATTTCCCATTAGGATGCTGAATGTAATAAGGAGGTTTAATTATTGCATATAGGCCATATTGTTTTGTGTGCTATACCATTGACATCTGTGGGAGTTCTGCTGTAGATTAGACGTCAGACTAGATGATCTAATCATCACTCTGGCCTTAAAATTTATGAATTAATTGAGGGTAACAAGTAGTTCTACATTTATACTCTGGCCCATAGACCATAATTAAAAATGGAATTTGGCCATCTTCACAATATAAGATTGCACGCTGGCATAGAGAAATAGATTAGTGTAAACATCTGCATAGTACCTTCTTGCACATAAAATATTGGCTTGGTAGGATACGTTGTTTAACATGTATAGAAGTAGTATACATGTAGGCTTGGCAGATTTCAATTTTTTTTAAATAATTTTGATGGATATCGTTAAACATTTTATTTTTAGTGATTTACCTTTTCACAGTTGCATGAAATTTTGGTTTTTAAGCAATTTGTCGATTTTTTTAATCGATTTTACGTTTTCAGTTGCAGGAAACTATGGGTACATCAGACAATAATTATTTAATGACAGCCTGTAATAACTTCTCAAGCAGCATTTTTCTATCTTTTCCTATCTGTATATTTAAGTTATTGTTGGTGGAAACATTTTTTTAGTCTGTTTGTATATGTATTGTGAAATTGATGTTTACTGACATTTACTGTTAAAAAGCTAATCCTTCCAAGCCTGTACATATTTAATGAAACCCCTGCAAATAACTAATTTAAACAAATCCCTTGCCTTAATTTAGTTTTTCTTTTCCCCTGTCTCTCTGCTTACCCTTTGGGGCATTTGAAATACATTTTCAAAGAGAAGTTCATTTTCATCTTGTATGGATTTAAATGGTTTGATTTTTTTTTTTTTTATTATATTTGTGTGTGTGGATTGCTTTAAGGAATAGGTAGTTTCTTTTTTAATAGAAAAGTTCTTGAAACTTTACCAGAAACGTTAACAAAATTTTCTGTCAGAATGGCACTCGGATCTCTGTATTTGTTTTCATTTTAGATTGCACTTATCTTTCCTGGTCCTAACTCAATTTCGGTAAAAGATATTATTCTCCATCTGGAAAAAAATGTTGAGAAAAATGTTAGTTGTGGCAATGATGATGATTCTTCAGCAGAGCCATTTCTCAAGAAAGCAAAAATAGAAACAAAAGAAGATCGAAACCTAAGTGAATATAAATCAAACAGCAGGAGTGAAGACACTGTACTGAAGAAAGTAATATTTATTGACAGTACTTGGAATCAAACCAACAAAATAATCACTGATGAGCGACTTCAAGGTAAATAAGTAAATAAATAAAAGAGGATGTTACAGCTACAGTAAAGTGGCTAAATGAAATATACGTATTTCTTTCTTAAATGCAAAAGACCTGATTGGATACCATAGTGATGAGCAGGGTCGAAATACATACATGAAAATAGATCTGAACATACATCGGGGTTCAATTATATGACTTAAAATTGTTTTTTTTTTTTTTTTTTCCATTTTGTCAAATATCTGAACATGTTGTGTTACACACAGAACCTGGTTCTTCCTGACAGTATTGATAATGTCATCAGTGGAAAACTTAATACAAGTATTGCTGCTTTTATTATGAATTAGCACAATGTACTTGTAGTTCTGCACAGCCTTCATTGTGTTATATTGATTAGAAGGATGACATATTTCAGCATTCCACAGAGAATTAAAATGTGTAACAACAATTTGGCAGTTTTATACTTGTACTATGTAGGGCTCAATCCTGCTCCCGTTGAAATCAATGGCAGTTTGAAAACTGACTTCACGAGAGCAAGAGCAAGCCCTTAGGTTGGAAGGCACATTTCCTTCATTTCTACTCTGTGTATTAGCTGGCAAGTGTATTAGCAAGTATGTATTTCTCAACTTAATTTCTACCAGCCTATGGAGTGGGCATACAGAATTCCTGCATGGAAGATGAATGCTGCTTCGCTGCCCAGTTAGCTCATTTAAAAAATACTGCATATGAGCATAATTTATTAGCCAATAAAAATCCTATTACAAAATATATTGAACATAAAAATTCCGTTTATCAAATAAATTGATATACACTACAGTGTTGTATTGCTTTATTGCATGATGTAAATATGAACTGATTTAAATTTAAGGTACTTAAAAATCTTGTTCACAAAGGATGAAATTCAGGAAACCAACATGCAGCTAAGGAATTTGGAATTTATATGGGTATCTTGCTCATGACTAAGGAAAGAAAATCTGCCCCCCCCCCATTCCTTCCGCAGGGCCAAGTCATCGGACTGCAGCATAGCCCTTCCTTGTACCTATTTCAGCCTATGGGACAGAATAGTAGCTTCTGCCTTCTAATCACTGTGGACACCACCAGTCCGTCTGTTACTCATGCCTATAACCAGCATGCACATATTTAACTTGCACCTTTCTCTGGGTCCTCAAATCAAGGCTAAACCTAAATCTCGCAGAATCTTTTGGCATAACATCTCTAAGATATGACCATTCTTATCCATCCACACAGCTAAAACTCTCCTTCAAGCTCTTATCTTGATTACTGTAACATTTTTTTCTCTGGCCTTGACAAATGCAATCTTACCACACTTACGTCCATTTAGAATACTGCTACAAAGATCACTTTCCTAGCCCATCACTTTGACCACATCACCCCTCTCTTTGGATCTCTCCACTGAGTCCCCATTCTCTATTGCATCAAACATAAGATGCTTGTATTTACTTTCCAGGCACTTCACAGTTCATCCCCACCTACCTATCACCTCTCATTTGCCAGTGAGCTGCGATGCTTGCCTCCAGTTGGCCCATGATGCCAGCCTCCATCACGCAATTGTTAAATTTTCAAATAAACACTTTTGTACTTTCTCTCATGCTGCCCCACATGCTTGGGGGAGGGAAGCTCCTTGTAAACGTCCACAGACTTACCTCGTTTCCATCTTCAAATTAATCTTCAAAACTCTCCTTTTCCATGATGCCGACAAACAGCTCAAACTGTTAGGCTGCTGGTGGGCAGAGATCACTGCTTAGCTTGCTGACCAATACTATCTTGTTGTTTACTTGAACTCCTGCATCTGTCTGTGTCCATTGTCTTATGTTATACTTATACTGTAAGCCCCTTAGGGCAGAGACGATCTTGTTCTGTTTGTACAGTGATCACCATCATGGGCTCCTGGTCCATGACTAGAGCTCCTAGGCACTATAGTAATACAAATAATAATAATGTAAGGATTTCATCTACTTAAGTGTTGACCCAGTGGACCCTTCCCCAGGTTATATAACCCCAAATTCTCTACTCCACACCACCATTCTAAGTCTAGGCAGGATCTTATACCGTCCTTGTCAGCAAAGTACCTGAGTGCCTTCCAGTAGTCCATTAAGTGATGTGACTAACGTGTGTTATGTGTGGTTCATTCTCTCTTCTCCTCTCTCTAGGAGCAGAGCTGTCTCTGCAGGTTAGTGTTTTGGTTTTTTAAATATGTACACACTATGTGTTTATATTAGAGAAAGTAAGTCGAAGAAGCGCGCCTGCACTTGAAGCAGAAGGTGGTGAGATTTGTTCTGGTCCTTAGTTCCTGTGGGAGTTCCTTCCATAGTCACGGGTGGTTCTTGACAAAGCTTTGTCTCCTACACAGATGAGCTTTGCTGTTGTGATAGAAAATTCCATGGTGTCTGATGAGTAGAGTGGTTGACCACAGTTTTCATTCTGGAACAGCACCTTGAAATTAAGGACTGAGACCATGAGTTTGAATTGACATTCTATGGGAAGCTAATGTAGAGAGTGGCAGACGGATTTGATAACCTCCATCTTGTTCAGGTTCAGTTTCAACTAACTCTTCTTTCATCTTGGTTGTGGTGGTGGTACAGTTGTACATGGTGAGGGATAAGTAGAGCTGTGTATGATCCCCATATTGTTGGCATTTGAGTCCATGTCATCTTACCAGTTCATCTAGTGGCTACATAGAGATGACTAAAAGGACTAAAGTGAACTGTACTTTATGCAGAGCCAGCATGGAACCAAATGCCTTTATTAGCAGAGACTCCTTTTGTGTCCACGCCACTGATGTCTCCCTCACTTCCCCCCACTATACCTCAAATAAGACTAGCTGAATAGGTGTACTGCCTTAAAGGCATGAATTTCACCCCCACTTCCTACAATATGGATTTGTTACAAGTTCTTTTGTGGGTTGGTTGTATAATTTTTCTCACAGGAAAATTGATGGCATTCACATCTGTCTGTATGCGCCTCAACAGCACACATCAGAGTTACACAATCACTGTCATTCTTCTGTTTCCAAAAAATAAGTTACTACAGTATTTGTTCACTTAAAAGAAAATACTGGAGAGAACCATTAATGAAGTGTGCCAAGAAAATGTAAAATAAAGTCTGTGTTTTGTAAGCCTGCGTTTATATATTTCAGTAAATCTAGTTAATTGCACTTACAAGTGAAAGCAATATGGGACATCAATTAGCCTCGGAAATAGACAACCTAGGAGACTTGGACAAAATTAAGTATTTCTAAATCTTATTAGGAAAGTGGTGTAATATATCTTTAGAAAACCAAACCAAACCCAATTGCATTACAGACAGGAAATATTTGAAAGTTGCTAATGTTTGGTTAGGATTGATAGATTACTTCATTAGAAATCAATGATCACTGGATCTGAAAAGTGAACTGTTACATTCAGTATTAATGATTACTTTCCTGGAGGTAATGCAGCATATTGGCAGCATTTGTATGGCTGTTAAAGTAGAAGATTGCTTAGGTACTTTTTCTGTGGCCTTAGTCAAATTTCTTTTATTAGTTTACATATTCTCTTGTGCAAATATATGCCATGCATCTGCTTCAGTTTTTAAAGCATCTATGCTCCCTTCTACTTTTGCAAGTAAATGATAGCCTGTAACTGGACATGGAGGCTAGTGGAAGGAACTGTCTCTGTGGCATATTGCCCCTTTATCCCATCCTCTGGAGCAGTGGTGGGCAACCTGCGGGCCACACGCAGGCATGGCCACCTGCAGCTCCCAGTGGCCACAGGCACGACCAATGGGAGCTGTGAGAAGCAGCAACCAGCACGTCCCCGTGGCTCGTGCTGCTTCCCGCAGCTCCCACTGGCCGGGAATGGCGAACTGCGGCCACTGGGAGCTGCAGGTGGCCACGCCTGCGGACGGTCACTGTAAACACTGTCTCGTGGCCTGCCAGCGGATTACTCTGATGGGCTGCAGGTTGCCCACCACTGCTCTGGAGGCATTTTGTGAGGAGGGTGCAGGTCTGCAAAGATTTCCTGCCCCTGTTTCTCCCCCCCCAAAAAAATAATCCCCAGGAGATGGGGGAACAACTTCATAAATTCCTGTAGACTCCGCCTACAGTAATGTACAAATCTTTTTCCTTTATGATTTGGACACCAAGGGTGATTCAAGAGACAACAGTTGGTAGGAGAGCCCTAGCAACACAGAGGCAAGGGACCAATATGTGGCTTCCCTTTGCTTTTGCTAAATTCCCCAAGATACACAGAGATATTGAGAATCTGCAGATTTAGAGAGGGGGCTGAACCCCTTGCCACTTCTACATGAGGGGCAACCAATTCAAGAACTGTAAGGAAATTCCAGTGAGCTGAAACTAGTGGAGCTCTGAATCCCCTGCACAATAATAATAATAATTAATAATAATTAATAATAACCGAGGCTCAGGTGATCTTCAGTGGGATTCTGTCTATTCCTAGAGAAGGGCAACAAAGGTGTGACAAGATTATGATGATCAATAGATGGCTCAGGCAGTGGTGCTATAAGGAGGGCTTTGGGATGTATGGCCACTGGGAGGCTTTCATGGACAGAGGACTGTTCTCTCGGGATGGACTTCACCTGAGTAGGGAGGGAAATAGACTTCTAAGATGGAGGCTGGCACAACTGATTAAGAGAGCTTTAAACTAGAAATTTGGGGGAGGTGTTTGGGAGATGTCCAGGTAATCTCCACGCCGGATTTTAACATTGAGAGGGAAGAAAACAAAGTAAGAAAGGATACAGCCGTGGGTAGGAGAATGGACATAAGGAGGAAGGGTAGTGTAGATACCAGTCTAATATGTGATACTGGCGGTAGAATGTCAGTGCCTAATCAGGTGAAGAATGTGAGCGAAGCCAAACAGCAGAAATTAAGATGTTTGTACACCAATGCAAGGAGCCTATGTAACAAAATGGAGGCACTAGAGTTACTGGTGCAGGAAGTGAAACCCGATATTATAAAGATAACAGAAACATGGTGGAATAGTAGTCATGACTGGAGTACAGGTATT